GGTATGCTCGAGTCCACCGTTGTAACCACTGTGTATTTTGAATGCTTTTCAACTTAGGGGGTTCATTTTCCAGCACTATATTCTGTAGTGATCTAAAGGGTTTCCTTGTCTAGTTTTTGGAAGTATATCGCCAGGCCTTTCTTCCCAGTCTGTCTTCGTCTAGAAGCTCCACTGAAACCTGTCCACCATAGGTGGCCCTGCTGGTATCCGAAATACTGATGGCATAGCTTCCAGCATCATACCTACATGCAAGCCAACCCAGTACAACAAACTGTCAGACAAGTAGTAGACCTGTCCTGTATACCTCCTAATTTCTCATTTGACAGAAACCCAGGGAAACTGTGCCCAAAGGCTTTAAGCCTCAAATCATACCCTGAAGTAATGCCATGAAAACAGCCCTGAACAAAGAATCTGAAGCAGTTTTTACCTGTAGAAGCCTAAATGGTAGGCCCTTTAAAGACGACCAAAATTCACGTGTTGATCCAGGCAGAAGGGTAAAGGAGTTTGCTCCTCAATCACAACTGGGCAGCCTTGGAGTCAGAAGGACCCAGGGGGTGACACTAGAGTGGCTGGACACTCATCTTACTCCTGTCTAACCATCTGAGATGGAAAAGCTCCTCCCAAAAGGAAGAATAATGCATTTTTCCTTCATATTAGCAAATACATTTTAAAAATTATTTTTAATGACAGACCCACTTCAACCTGGCATTCTTCTCCACATCCTGAAGCACTGCTGTCTTTGCCTAGGTTTGTAGGTAAGCTAACAAAAACGAAGTGGGAGAGGAGAGGAATCTTCGGTGTATGTGGAAGTTTGTTTTAGAAGAATCTTTAAACCTTAGCAGTCACACTTTCCAGACCATTGCTTCAGAGGAGTCTACTCAGTAATGAGGTTGGTGCACATGACCATGTTTCCAGAATAACAACTGGCTAAGAAAAATAAAATGATGATGCTAATCAAGAACAGTAATGTACTCCCTCTATACACTCCCTTTAGCACTCAGGACTCCACAGGGAATTCTGGACTAATTCCTGTGAACACCACAGGGCTTGCACACGGTGCTGATTGCACCCCTCCTCTCCATCCCCAACCCCAAAGACACTGACTCAGCATCTGGCCTGGAGCCACAGTAACACATTCCAAATTCAGAGTGTGCAACAACATTCAGTGCAATTACAACATAATGGCTGCAAAGCTGTTCCTAAAAGCCAAGAAAACCTGTATAATGTGGTTGGGTTATATCATACATGAAGGCTTAATAGAGTTTAAAAACCAGTTTTAAAATTCCTTGATTCCATAAAGACAGCATTAAGATGAGGGCAAAAATATTCTAGTTCAAGAGACAGGAACAAAGTGCATAAGGAATTATACAGACTCCTTTCCACATATCCTTCTTAACCAAAATGATCCATTCCCTTTGAAGATATCTCTGATACCTCATGCTGACCCAGAAAGAAGGCAATTTCATTAAAACATCTTAGTCTTACTATACCCAACTAGTAATGCTGGTTTCCCTGCTATTTAAAAAAGCACAGAATCTATTTCTAAAACTAACTGTTTGCTATTCAAAATCCATCCGCCCAGGCAATGTCTTCCACTTGTCACTAATACCCCACCCATCACTAATACTCCACCCACTTTCAGTTCATGTTGTCAAAGAGGTGAAGTTATCCTCATGACCACACAAGACCTGACAGATGTTTCATTCGTTCTTAACCATTTTGTAGCAAATGGCCTTGGAAATCTGAGTTACTAAATCCAGCACTGACCTGGACCTGTGATACCAGTAAGATCTAGGCTTGCAGAATCACAGTGCTCAATTTCAACTTTGGGAACCATCCACTCTTGAGGTCAAGCCCCACCAACCCTCAGTTATATGAGCTTCTGCAACTGCCTTATCAGCATGCTAAAGCTGCACAATGAAAAAGGAAGACAAGAAGAATTGATACATTCACACTGTGGTGCTGGCAAAGAACACTGATTATATTGTGGACTACCAGAAGAACAAACAAACCAATCTTAGAAGAAATACAACCAGAATGATCCTTAGAATCGAGGATGGTGAGACTTCAGCTGGCTTACTTTGGACACATCATCAGGAAAGACCAATCACTAGAAAAGGACACCATATTTGGCAGAGGGTCAAAACAAGGGAAACCCTCAATGAGAGGGATTGACACGATAGCACTAACAATGGATTCTTCAAAGATACCAACAATCATGAAGATGGCACAGGACTGGGCAACAGTTTGTTCTGTTATACATAAGGTCGCCATGAGTTGGAGCCACCAACCAACAACAGAACAACAATCCTCTGAATCCTATTCTGTTGCTTAACAGCTATCACTGACAGAATATCTTAATATTTTGGAATTCAGAAGTGACTTTGGAGATCCCCTTGTTTTATGGATAATGAAACTAGTGTTTAAGTCCCTTAGGCTGTATTTTTTGTTCATTTCTCGATATTTTCTCCTTGAGCAAAGGCATATTTTTATACATAATGGGACCAGTTCAGAATTTTCAGAACTAAAAAGGATCTCCAAGTTCAACCTCCTTTCTTCCCAAAACTTTCAAAAGCTTTATATGTTAATCTTCACAGTATACTAAATAACAAATACCACATTCCATTTACGGCTTAATTTTAGGATGGAAAGAATAGGGGAAGTCTCAGCCTGAGAGCAGAATTCTTTTTCCTATAAGAATGAAGTTCTGATCTCTCAATCTAAGAAAATTCAGATTAATTTCAGTTTGAACCTGGAAAGACAGAGCTGAATTTAGATCTTTCTCTTTTTTTTTCAGTTTTATGTTCTAACGTGCCTCGGCTGACTGAATTTCTATTAAGCAGTATCCTTTCTCTTAATTGACTGGAAGAACTACATACTTTAAGAAGAGTTAAAAAATTATTCAATTTTGTGTCCTCCCTTCTGACTAAACTAGAAGCCATTTCCCATTATTTCATGATTAATATGAAAAAGTACTGAAACAATGAGAGGAAGTTCATTTGTTTCCAGTTGTTAACAGTCTGGTTTCTGCTGCAATCCCATTGGCAACTGAAAGAAGCGGCATATACTACACGCCTGCCCTATTACAACACAAAAAGCTGTCAACTTTGAACTCCTTTGGAATGTTGTTAGTAAGGCAGAAAAGACAATTGTGGATTTCCTTTAATATTAGTTGGGCAACCTAGCCTTAAAATAGTGACCATACATAGGTCTTCCTATTTTTAAGGCAAGACCAAACCAAGATATAGGTGTCCTAAGTAGGCTAATAATTTGGTAACCCTTCAAATGGATACTCTTCATATATTTGCTCAACTGGGATTTGGGTGAGGAGTTGAGCACCGGTGGCCTGGAGGAAGGGTGGATTCACAGGGCTGGTGAAATCTTTCAGTTTGCCCACTCCCCTCAATACAACAAAGGCCCTGCATCTGACCTGGCCAAATCTCCTTGGAAAGCTGTTTGGTGATATCTACACATGTAAAAGCTGGACATTGAAGAAGGAAGATTGAAGGAGGGTTGACGCATTTGAATTGTGGTACTGACGAAGAATATTGAATATACCATGGAATGCTGGAAGAATGAACAAATCAGTTTTTGAGGAAGAACAGCCACAATGCTCCGTAGGAGTGAGGATTGAGAGACGTCATCTTGCTTACTTTGGACACTTCATTGGCAAACAACTGCTAGGAAAGGACATCATGTTCGGTAAAGTGGAGGGTCAGTGGAAACAAGGGAAACCCTCCATGAGGTGGACTGACCCGGTGGCTGCAGCAATGGGCTCAAACATACCAATGATTGTGAAGATGGTGCAGGATCAGGCCATGTTTCATTCAGTCAAACATAAGGTCGCCATGAGTTGGAGCTGACTCAAGGTCAACTAACAACAATGGATTCTTAAATATGCCCCTCTCCACTCTAAGCTGCTTATCAAAGCATTCCTTTGAACTACATCTAGTAACTTCTTGAAAGGACCTCTGGTAAATATTCTTTACCTTGTTGCACTCTCAGTGACGTATTAACACACATTATAAATCCAGCCTCCCTTCAGGGACACTGTCTTTTCATTCCCATAGCATGTACTGAGTGTCTGTAACATGCCAGGCACTAGGCCAAGTGTTAGAAATATAAACGTTTTTAAGATACTGTACCTGTCCGTAAGGAACTCACACCTTGGGCAGGAGAAAGATCTATAAATACAGTACTGCAGTTGATGAAGGCAATAGCAGTACAATAGTTGTTACTAGATAGTACTGGTGAAATGCTCTGAAATCCTTGGGGATGGATACTTTCTAAAAATGCAAGGTACTTTGAATTTTGCCTCCATTTCTGGAAACCTTAACAGTGATAAGGATTGGAATAAAAAGAGAGCAATGCTTTCACGTCTCCTGTTCCCTGTGGCTGTGACTGGGATGGGGACCTAAGGGTGTGGCATAATATCTATGCTAAACTTAGCCAAAATCTTTCATTTTGCACATTCTTCCCCAAATGATTTTGTCCCTAGAATTTCCTAAGCAATACTCAGGGAAGAATGAAGGAAGCTCGCCTAGTCTCTGCTCTCTATGTAGCTACACATCCCTGATCCAGATGGCTTCTCCCCTTAAAAATAATTGCAAACAAGATTAAAACTGCATGCAGGAACTGTTCCAGCTGGCTTTTGGCTTCCTCTGATGTACACTCCTTGAATAAAGCAGTGGCAAAAATTAAATTTAAAATAAGGAACATAAAAAAACTTCACAACTTGTATTAGATCACCTCAATGTCCTGCTATGTTTGAAACCCCAAGCACTGGCATTAGAGCAACTGAATGCATCAGCCAGCTAGAGTATACACAAATATATGAAATACAAAAACTTTAATAATTTAAAAAAACCTTATTTTGAAGGCATCTCTCCACAATGCCTCTGGGTACTTAATAGTAAGATAAAGCCAGGCATATGGAACAAAATAAGAACACGGTCCAAATAAATTCCCAAGTTTGAAAATCTTCATTTTTATTTACTTACCTGCCATCAGTCCATCTACAGAAGGCCACCTAACCACATACTCCTCTGGTGAAGCAGACAAAAATATATTGATCCTTCCTTGGCAGGTGGTCACCACTGACCACAGGAAGGAGGGAAGAAAGAAAATTTGGGAATTCTGCCTATCTAAAGCACCAGCCCCACTAATCTTCATTTTCACAACAGGACCTTTATGGTTCTAGGCAATTCCTCAGGAGAACTTGGGTTATTAGGCTATGACATTTCAGAGAACCATGATCAGTTCTGCCTTGCCTGAATATTACTGTAATCAGTGCTTCTAGGATCCACCTCTTTTTCCATACGTTTTAATTCTTTCCCTGTTATTTACCTACAATACACTCTAAGTATATAGCTCCAAATATTGGTAGAGAGCTTCACAGGCATTTTATAAGCTATGCCTCAGAAAGACAATCACTAAATGAGAAGATTGTGGCCTAATGGCCACCTCAGTGTGCTCAGTCATTATGCACAGTGAGACGGCTTTAGTGGCTGCTTAACCAAGGCAATGTGTAGTTACAGGAGCCCTGCTTGTGTTGGGAAATGCGCTAGAAATTGCTGGAGTTATAACAGTGCCTGGACACTATCCCTGTCCTTGAGGAGCTGAGAATCTTGGAGTTAGGTTGGGACGTAGTGTGGATTTTTTTTTAAAGGGCACTAAAACATTAAAAACAAAAAACAAAAACCTGTTGTCGTCAAGTCGATTCCGACTCATAGCGACACTACAGGACAGAGTAGAACTGCTCCATAGGGTTTCCAAGGAGCGGCTGGTAGATTTGAACTGCTGACCTTTTGGTTGGCGCCATAGCTCTTAACCATTGCGCCATCAAAGCTCCTACTATATAAAACACTATCTATGAAAAAAAAAAAAAAAAAAAGAATAAAGATCAACCAGGCAAAAAATTCCCATCTGGCCACAGCCCTAGAAAGTCACTTAGCAGTAATTTACTGCTACTGCCTTCATCATTATGGTACTGTATTTGTTTTCTACTCCTAGACTTATTTAAAAATTTGTATGCGCTGATATTTGTCAGCGGTGACTGACAAGGCTAAGTATTTGTTGAGCATTGTACAGTCTACGCTTTCTCTCACTGTTCAGGACCCAGAGGGTTGCTTTTACTCAGTAAGGCAGAGAAAGTCCAGAGGGCCGGTCCAGAGAGCCCCCACGCTCACAAAGTTCCCTACTGAACCTTTCAACCTTTTCACCCTCAATTAAAGGTCAACATGGCTGCTCAAAAATATTTACTGTATTTAAAAAGACAGTCATCTCAGCGGGCTGCCAAATGTGATTATATTGCTACTTCATAGAATTCTATTAAACCCGAGATGGGGCATCTGTGAATCACTCGAAGAAGCCAGAAGTGGAGATGTTTTCTGCTTTCTCTTAAAAAGCTGCCCTTTTCCGCCAGTTATATTGTTCACTTCGCAGAGTGCTATCGCCTACACACACACACGCACACGCACACGCACACGCACACACACACACACACGCACTCCCCGCCCCCGCCCCTGGTGGTTCATGGATTTATGGCTCCCAGTTTAATTAAATTCCTTCTAACTACAATCGAAATTGGCAGCGTGCGACCCAGCGAAGGGCTTGCAGGCCCCAACTCTCTCGCCGCATCTAGCTCCGGTCCGGGGAGCCTCGAGCGCCTACCCGCCGGCGTTAGACCACCGGGACTCACCTGAGCCTCCCCACAGCTAACGTCGCCGCTTCCGCCCCTTGCCCGGCACTTCCGCCCCGAGCTGTCCCAAGCCGGCATTTCCGTCCTGCCCCCGCCCTGTCGGCTGCTGTGCCTTTATTGCAGTTTCTTCCCCATCGCCCTGCTTAAGGGTGGTCACATTAGCGCTATCACGCATAGAAGAGTGACACAAAAACCAAAGCCAAACTGTAAAAAAAAAAAAAAAAAAAAAAAAAAAGTCACAGAAAAGTGACCCTGTGTGTTTGGGGGCTATGTAATAAGTAGTCTCTGGTGTGAAAGCCAGCTTTCTGAGAAGGCCAGTTAATCCCTCCCTGCATTTATTCATTCGTTAATTTAATATTTACTGTCCTCCTTCTCTTGGTCCGAAATATATTCGACGGCATTGGGTTTGAGGTTTTTTTTGGGGGGTGGGGTGGGGGGAGGGATTTCCTCTTGGCAAGGGCTGAGCTAGGTAATGAGGAACACGGTGATGAGCAAAACTGACAGCCATACCCTCCCCAAACCTAAAATCGTGTAGGCAAGTCAGACATTAGGCAATAATCCTTTAAATAGGTCATACACTTACTGAGCTAAAGGGAAGAAATAAGGACTTTTGAAACAATACGAGTGTGGTCTAGTTGAGGTAGTTTTGGGGCTGAGATGTGAAGGGAGTGAGGTGGTGACAGGGCATTCCAGCCTTAGGGAACAGCGGGGCTGGATGAAGCCGGCACCGAGATTGAACAGGAGATTGACTGGTACAGCTAGCGCAAAGAGGGTGTGGAGGAGAGAGGTGGAAACAGGCTGGAGAGGATGGGCAGGAGCAAGGCTGGGCCTTTCAGGTTTGTGCTGAGGACAGCTGGAGGAATTTTTGTTTTACTCTGTTTTTGTGTTTGGGCAGAGGATTGAACTGATCGCTTTTCCATTCTGAAAGTATCTCTTAGCTTCAGAAAGGTGATGTGAAGTGGGTGGAATGTGAGGGCAAATTAGAAGTAGGGAAGTCAGGAGGATACCAAGCAATCCAAGTGAGAGGTGTGGTGACTTGAATGGTGACAGTAAAAATAGTGAGAAAATGATGGATAATAATAGTAGTATTACTCAAAGCTAACATTTATTGTTTGCTTACCATAAGCTTTACACCCATTAAACTTGTTTAAACATCAGAACAATCTTATGAAGTATTACTTATTAGTACCATTTAAAGATAAAAAAAATGGAGGCTTCATAGCATAGGTTCTCATAGCTAGGAAATGGCAGAGTTAGAATTCCATCTATGCTGTCTGATGCCAGCGTCCATGAGCTTGCCACCATATGCTCAACATGTATTCAGTGATTTAAAAAAATACAAAGCAAACCAAGGTCAGGAACGAATCCACTAAAGAAACCAAGGAGAACATTGATTATGTGATATTGCTAGAGGACACATTTAGAAAGTAGAGTTTTCAAGTTCTTTATCACTCAGCATTTGCTGATACCTTTGGAAAGAGGATTTTGTGATTGTCAACAGTCTATGATTTTTTTGAGTTGATACAATCTGATAAGACTTAATCTTTCTTAAAAAAAAGAAAAAAAGCCAATTGTTGAAGTACACTCCACCTAACATTTGCTGGTAGAATATCTTTAAAGAAGTAATCTTGAGTCTAGTTATAAACACCTTGGTGGAGCAAGTATAATTTGAATTTTGTGGAGTGATAGGAAAGCTTCCTAGAAATGCAACACTGAATCAGCTTCCAAATTCCATTTCTTGTTGGAAAACAAGCTTCATAAAATGAATTGAATTTATGAAACCTGATTTCACCTACTGGAGGAGGGGAATGGCATCACCAAAGACCAACAATGAAGGCTTTTAACATTGGTAATGGGTAAATTTCTCTAAGGAGCCCCAAATTCACAAATTTTCAGTACTGAGTTTAATTAGGAAGAATATCTTGAGTTGTTAAAGCGATGGCATAAGACTTGATACATCCACATTATTGTTTTGGTTGAGGGCAGTTGTCCTGTGAAATGGCTAAGAACTCATAAAGTTGATGACCAGTCAGCGTTGGGAGTGTGAGGTATACGCCTGAGTGTCATGAGCACAGCAGGACCAGTTTAACTTCTAGGTACAGGACTCAGAGTACTGGGCATATGAATGAGTCTTTGCTTGGGTGATGTATGAAGTCTGGCCAGGAGAAATTATTGTCTGTGAAATAAAACAGAATACTGCAAAATTGAAATTAATAAACATTTACTAAATGGCACAAAATATAACACTGTGTCAGCTTCATTAATTGCTGGGTGTAGTATTCATAACAATTTCATTAGATTTGAAAGCAATTTTTAGATGAGATGGTTTCACAGAGTGACAGTTCCTGAATATACATAATGAGTGTCGAGAAAACAGAAAATATTTTAAATTAGTTACTTTGGCCAAACAAGTACAAAAGCAAAATTACATAAATCTTTTTTATAGCAAAAATATTAAATGTGGAATGTGTACACATTTTAATGTTTCAAGTGATGTGAAAGTAGGAATGTTTAGAGAATATGAAGATCATAATATAATCCTGGGTCTTACACAATATTATTCACTCAAAACATGTTTGTCATGGGATGTTGACCTGCATCTCGTCCTCAGGGTCTGGACTCCTAATCTGGGAATCCAGGTAGGACTGGTGCAGGGATCTCTGTGTTCTGGAATGTCAGTTTGGTCACCTTGGTTGAGTTCCTTTACATCTCAAGGTCCTGCCTGCTCTGCCATGGTCAGTTCTGAGACTGAACCGTGCTGTAGGGAATGCCTGCTGGTATAGGCTGGTCTACATCTTAGAAGTTGTATTTTAGAGGACACATTACTTGTTCATCGAAGTGCCCTTCAGATCAGAGATGACCTGGAGCAAGTCTTCCCTCCTAAGGCCTCCTAAGGACTGGACGTGTGAGTGTGGAGGGAGGAATCCTCACTCCCGCACCCACTGCCTTAGCCTCTGGAAGAGCAGGAGTCAAGAAATGGTTTTTGATGTCAATGCTTTCCCTTTAGAATACCTTAGAAAACTAAACTATGTCCTGACATGTAGTGACTGTCATGTTGACTCTAGTACAGTGACCTGATTCCATGCTGGAGTTCCCGGGTGGTGCAAATGGTTAAGGCGCTTGGCTGCTAACTGAAAGGTTGGAGGTTTGAGCCCACCCAGAGGTGACTCAGCGGCAACTGATTTCTAGATTCTATGCTGCCACTCGAACATGCCATCTAAATTTGACTAGAAGGGACAATCCCAGTAATTGCCACAACTGGATGGAATAATCCTGATGGTGGAGGTATTCAGAAGCCTGATAGATTTTCTTCCCTAATGTTTTTCCTACTCTTTATAGAGAGCTTATTTGTTTATCTTATGAGTCCCCACTACTGCAAATTCTGCAGGAAACGATCTGTAAGGCCCAGATATTGTGTTATGTTTAAGGTCATGGAGAAAGCCAGTGGCAAACTCCCAAAGAAAAGACAAGGCTTCTGAGTCTGAATGTGTTGGGTCAGCTGGGTCACTGTTGACACCCCTAGGCCAGCCATTACAGGCAACAGAATTATAAGCTTGTTTTACCAGGGGAGAATGGATCTCAGAAGCCTGATTTCTATACCCTCCCTTGACGTTTTTAAAACTCTGCTTTTGTACCAGACATTTGGAGGAGAGTGAAGAAAATTTTAAAAGGAGAAAAATGTTTATTTGTTTTAAGGCTTGCTCAGTAATCCACTTAGGCCATTTACATTAGTTAAACAACCTTTCCTTGTAAACACCATTAATTATGTAGTATGAGAGCCAAATAAAAATGCTAGAAAATATAAGTAATTGTATAATAAATTAGCATAGCTTGAGTGCACATATATTATAGACTACAGAGTTATGCATTTTATTGAGAGAGGTGGATGTGTGATTTCCTATTGTTTGAGCTACTAGAATGGAACGGACAGGAACGACATTTTACAGATGGATACTGAAGCTGTTAAAGTTTAAACCCATTCTGGCAGTGAAATTACAGTTTTCACCGGGTCCTTG